ACTGCCTCAAAAGTAGTAGAATGTACAAAAACCTAAGAAGAAAACAGTGTGCAGAAGGATCCAGAAATCTGCAGGAGCACAGAGGCCCCAGACCAGGACACGCTTGAGTTACTGAGCGCAGTGCTGTACATGGGAGATGGAGTCATAATGGTGAGGTGAGGATGGAAACAGGAGTCTGGGGATAACCAGACAAGGATTCACGCTGACAGTTCTGATGTGATTGCTCAGTTTGTTTTAGGAAAGCAGCTCTGGTAACTGCTGAAAGAGACCTGCAGTGGAGGCTCGAAAAAGGAAAATGGAAGGAAGAATTCCAACTGCTTCAGACATGACAGCCAGGAGATGGACTAAGGATGGGCAGGAAAAAACAGAAACGCCAGTACAGATTCAAAATGAGGGTTTTCAGTTTGGTTGCTTTCTGTAGTACTAATCTACATCGCAGGCAAACGCTGGCAGGGAAGTAATGTACAGTGTATAATAATGTCAGCTACTGAAGCTGAAAACGTGAACACCTCACACGGGCACCTCTGGCCCGCACTGCAGAGGGTAGGAAAGAAGGACCTGAAGCTATTCCAGGCTGAAAATGTGCTAACAAACAGTCCTGTCATCAAGACTCAAGATACAAAGACAGAAGATTTGGGGTAGAACAGGAAAACATCATGTTGATGGGTTGAGGTGGATAAAGAAAATGTCAATGTATACAATGGGATCAACTTAGACTTTAAAAGGATGGGCTGTGCTAGCTGTGACGGTGTAGCCTGCAATCTCCGCACTGAGCAGAAGCAAGCAGATCATGGGGTGGAGAACAGGCCTGGGCCTATAAACTTCTAGTCTGAGCAGCATAGTAAGATTCTGCCTAGAATACCAAAAATAAATAAATAATAACAAAAAGAAATGCTATCATTTGTGACATGGATAAACCCATGTGCTCACTTATACTGGAAACTGAGAAAGCAGACCTTACAGCAAAGTTACAATATAATGATTAGCAAGGGCTCGGCACAGCAAGTTAGAGAAAAGTTTAAGACTATTCCATACATCTTCATTTCATTTTTCATAAAATGATGTAATACGTAGATTTCAGTTTAAAAAACATGCAGAATATGAGGCTCTTCATTTTAGTAAATATTTGAACACAAACAAGAATTGATTTGGGGGCTGGGGAAATCAATCAGTGGGTAAGAAAGTTTGCCCTGCATGATTAAGACCTCAGTTTAAATCTCCAGTATCCACTGAAAAAAGCATATGTCTGTGACCCCATCATTGAGGGGCAGAGACAAGCATATCCTAGGAGCTCAGAGGTCTGTCAATCTACCAAAACAGTGAATCTCTGGTTCAGTGTGACACCCTATCTCAAGGCAATAAATACAAAGAGCAATAAAAAAAGACACCCTATGTTCAGTTCTGGCTTCTGCATGTGTACATGAGCGCACACTCACCCACGTACAACACACAGGCTGCTGAAGTCACAGGCATATGCCATCAAACCTAGCTAAAGTCATGATTTAAATCTTGCTATTTTGTGATTAAGATGTTTAGAAAGGTGGTGCAGTGGCTTGAATGAGAATGGTACCCACTCCTATGTTTGAATGTTTGGTACCCAGCTGGTGGAACTGTCTGGGGAAAATTAAGAGGTGTGGCCCTGTTGAGATAGGTGTGACCTTATTGGAGCTACATTACTGGGGTAGGCTTTGAGGTTTTAAAAGTACCTGCCAGGATCTCCAAGTCTCTAAATCTCTGTCCTCCTCCCCTTCCTCCATCCCTGACACCGCCTGCTGTCTACGGATCAGAATGGAAAGCTCTCGGCTACTACTCTGACACTGTGTCTACCTGTTTCCCACCACAGCAACCACTAACCAACCCCGCCCCCATTAAATGTTTTCTTTATAAGAGTTGCCTTGGTCATGGTGTCTCTTCACAACAATAGAACAATAACTAAGATAAAAGGCAATTTCTTATAATCTTCATAATGTTGGAAAAGTCAATACAGAATTGTGTATAATAGCATAATTTAAGTAACTAAAGCTAGGAATGGTACCTCATACCTATAATCACAGCACTCTGGATGCACAGACATGAGTTCTTATGGGAGTTCTAGACCAATTAGCTCTACACAGTGAGTTCCAGGACAACCTGGGTTACATATGGAGACCTCTCAGAAAAACTAAACTAATACTGTGCTGGCCAGTCTTAAGTCAACTCCACACAAGGTAGAAGGTAAAATCATTCGGGAAGAAGGAACCACAATAGAGAAAATGCACCCCCTCCCAACACACACAACACACACACAACAACACACACACACACACACACACACACACCCTAGTTTTGCTTGTGGGCAAGCCTGTGGTGGATTTTCTTTATTAATGACTGTAGGTGGTACCACCCCTGTGCTGGTGGTCCTGGGTGCTATAATAGAGCAGGGTGAACAAGCCACACAGAGTAACCCAGTAAGCCATGTTCCTTAATGGCTTCTGCTTCCGTTTCTGCCTTGAATGTTCTGACCCTGACTTCCCTAGAAAACGAACAAAAAGCTGTAAGATGAAATAAACTCTTTCCTCCCAGGTTGCTTTGGAACTCAGTGTTTTATCACAGCAATAGAAACCATAACTAAGACATCAAACAACAAACAATTCCTGTAATACTTTGTTCATAAAGGACACTTACTACTTTATCATATTTTGTAGTAAAAATGTAGGACATGGGGCCAGGGGCTGGCTCAGCAGTGAGGAACATTATTTACTCTTGTAGAGGACCCAGGTTCAGTTCTCAGCACCCACATGGCAGTCTAAAGCATTTGTAGCTCTAATTCTAGGATATCCAATACCCTCTTCTGACTCCACAGGGATGGTCGCCACGTGGTACAGAGATATATAAGCAGGCAAAATACTCATAAACATGAAACAAAACACAACAAAAATAGTACTAAGGAAAGACAAGTACAATATTTAAAATGATTTTGTGTGTGGAGGTGGGGCAGGACTTCAGCATGGGACCCCATCCTGACACCAAACTTGCAATCTCCTGCTTTAGCCTCACAAGTGATTAGAATAATAGTTGTCACCACATCTGGCCCACATTTACTTTTTTAAAAATCTAAATTTTCTTTTTTAAATAGAAGTGACAATGCAGACAGATGATGAATGTCATTCAAAATGGACTTAGAAGTTCTCTGCTAAGAGTTTAGATTTCAGGGGAAAAAAGCTTTTATGCATCAAAAGACTATCAACACCTTTGGTGCTGGGATAATCTCTTTGTACACTATGTGAAGATCCGTCTCTGTTTACCTCACCAGCCAAAGGCACCTTCTGATTGGGTTAATAAAGGGCTGAATGGCCAATAGTTAGACAGAAGAGGATAGGCGGGACTTCTAGGGAAAGATAGGAACTCTGGGAAAGAATCTGAGATGGGCAATTCACCAGCCAGATGCAGAGAAAGTTGGATGTACGGTACTGAGGAGACGTAATGGGTCACATGACAAAATGTAGATTAACATAAACAGGTTAATTCAAGCTGTAATTGCTAGTTGGGAACAAGTCTACGCTAAGGCCAAGCTTTTATAATTAATAAAAAGTCTCTATGTCATTATTCAGGAACTGACAGTCCAAACAATCACCTGCTACACCTTGGAGCTGGAGAGACAGCTCAGCAGTTAAGAACAACAAGCACTGCTCTGGCAGAGGACTGAAATTCTGTTACCAGCAGCCACATGGTAGCTAGCAACCATCCATAAGGATCTGACACCCTCTTGTGGCTTCTGTGTGCATTACATGCACATGGTGCAGACATACATGTAGGCCACATATACATAAAATAAAAAATAAATCATGAAAAGAAAAGTACCCTTCAGAAGAAAATATTTATAAACCATACCACTGGACATGCTTGCTACTAAGAATGCACAAGTAACTCCCACAACTAATCACCAACAAGACAAACAGATCCTAATGGACAGAGAGTATGAATGAACTTTTCTCCAAAGAAGATAAATAAATGCTAAATATCAATTAAAGGGATGCCTGGCACTAGTACTACTGCCCCTGGGAAATCACCAATGTGCATGAGGAGGTGATGCCACCTAGAACACACCAGGACGGCAGGCTTCCACTCTCCTTAAATTAGTAAGTAGCGGTAAAGACATGAAAAAAATGGAATTCTTGTGCTCTGCAGTTAGGAATGTAAAGTGGTCATATACCTCAAGATTGAGTGCAGGGACTCTCGTAGGTATTGGCACAACTCTGATCACAGTGGTGCCGTCACCACAGCAAAGGCAGAGAACGATGAACGATGATAAGAATGTAGTCGGCACATGCAATTAGGGATGCATGTAACTTTAAAAGGAAAAAATGACATATACTACACGAACAAACCTAAAGAACTTCATGCTAAGTGAAATCCGTCTGTCTCAAAAGGACACGTCTCATGGTTCCCGACAGAATGCACCTAGAGTGGTCAGATTCACAGACATAAGACGCTAGATGGTGAAAGCCAGGGCCTACGGGAGGAAGGGATGTCACATTAGTATTTAATGGACACACCAAGTTTCATGCAGGGAAAGAAAATGCTCTGGAGGCGGATGGTGTTGGCAGCCATACAACAGCATAAATATTTTTAATGTCACAGAATTGTACATTTTAAGAGTTTTATGCTATGTATAAGTAAAAACCCACCTGAGGGCTGAGATTTCTCAGTGGATAGAGCACTTCCCCGAGTGGGAAGACCAGAGTTCAGAGCTCAGCACCCACGTGAGTGGCAGCTGCATGTAAGGCCAAGCAGGCAGAGACTCGGGGAGACAAGGGGCCCTGGAGCAGCTCACTAGCAAGACGAGCCTAAGTTAGTAAAGTGGACAGCAACGGAGGAAAACATTCAACTTCAACCTCTGGCCTCCAGATGAACTCCCCCCCAAAGTCCTCTGAAATGGTGCAATATTGAAAACAGAACTGCAGTCACCGGAAGGCAGACATATACACGTGGTGGTTCTGGTGCGCCCGGCCATGTCGTACCTGGATTTCAAGCTCAGCAATCTGCTGCCTCAGCTCAGCCACAGCGGCTATGCTGTCAGCTTCCCGGAGCCTCACAGCCATGACTTCCTCCTTGTTCTACAGCACCAAGAAAACAGAGATAACCCAGTTGAGTTTGGAACTGAGATTTTTTTTCAGATTGTACAAACTATTAAGGGCATAAACTGCCTATTCGTATGATGTAGCAGGTCTGAGACGGTATCTGTACTGCAGCAGTCAGGCACAAACATCCACATCCAAAGGGACAACAACTTCTAAGAGGCCACCTATTGGTTCAAATCAAATGTTGCCTTCAAGTGAACCTGTGTGAAATTTATGAAAAATCTTTTGGGATTCAAAGTGTTGGGCACTGAAATGGGGATTATAGGCTTGTGCTATTTTAAGTGAGAATATTCAAACTCATTTATAGAGTAAAAATGTTGATAATACAGATACTATTCAGATACTTTATATATGAAAAATAAAATGAGTTTTAAAGATTACTCACCAACAAATCATAAGCTTTAACCATATAAAACATAATGAAAATGAATCTAATTTATGTAATAAGGGACTTGCTTCTCTGAGAAAGTTATAGTTGTGACTGAACTGTTGTACTCTAAGAGGGAAGTGTAAAAGGAGTCAGAATAACAATAAGTACACTAATATTAATTACCAGGATCTGCAAAGGCAGTGAAGCAGGCTGAGTTAGTACAAGGGGCATATCAGAGTGAGGGTCCTGGGCACACTTCTCAGGGTACTAAGTGAAATCCTGCACCAGTCTGCCCAGTCCTCTACTGCTCTGAGTCCTTACCCATTACTGAGACAAACTCAAAACTTATCTTAATGGCCAACTTAAGTTCCACAAATACTTCCAAAGAACATTTTATTTTGCTAACAGGTGCCACGATAATATTAAATTCAGAAATACTATTATCAAAACGTCTAAAGAAAGCTGGCATTGCTATAGAAAAGATTACACCTAGTTCTCTATGAAAGACAAATCACAAGGGCAGTGTGGCATCAAAACGTCCATCAGCCATCAGGGTGACAAGGCACAGGATGACTCACTGTGCCCCACTACTGCTCAGGTAACCTCTGATGCAGCTTTATTGTTAAATTAGTCCAGCTGTATCTTTTTAAAGGGTCAGTTCTTGAGTTAACACAATTGTCAGTATTGCCTACAGATTTCTTCAGTCTAAATTCTAACAGCCATGAATATTTATTAGGATGTAATTTCATCTCTGGATCTCAGTGACACAGATAAACCACTCAAGCTTCACTCCTGGTTTTTAATAACACTAGAACAAGTTGATGGAATTACAGCTTTGCATGGACCACTGAAAGTCTTATTCCTCATAAAATAGTAAGGCTCGGATGCATCAAGGGCATTGCAACTCTTAAAGGAGCTGTGCTGACGGCATAAGTAGTTAAAATGTCACACCTTCTCTCCAGAAATCAGCTCTAAAGCTCAGACGACATGCATCTCTCCAGTTATTCTCATGTTTGTGTATGGATATCCATACTCCTCTACCTGATGCCCCCAACCCTCTGACCCCCTCATTAGCTAAAGCTGCTATAAGCCCTTTGTCATAAAAAATTCAATTTATTTCAAATACTTGTAGTTCTTTTTGAACAAAAGGCTTCACATAAACAAAAACTGATTAACAGAATGGAAATTGTATTCATTTTTCTTAATCTACCCGTGCATACCCATTTCTGTTTCTGTTACCCAGAAAGCACTGCAGTGCTGACTGCCTGCTAGCGTGTTGTGAGTCAAGTAGGGAGCGTCAGACCCTCCACCACCTGCATTTTCAGGTAGGTCATCACAGCTAGGTTTTAAAGACACACTAGTCAAAAGAAACATGAAAAGTCTTGCTAGTAAAAACCAATGTAAGACATCAACTTAACCAAGTCTACGGTTGAAAATGAGGTTTCTTCTCTGAAATTCACCCTATGAACGAAAGGAGCGAACCTTCTTTGAAAATTTAACCTAGGTGTGGTACATGCCTTGGATTCCAGCAATGAGAGGCAGAGCCAAAAGAATCAACAAGACTTTGAGGCCAGTTTAGTCCACACAGCAAGCTCTAGGCTAGCCAAGGCCATATATTGAGAGGCTGTCTCAAAAAGACAGTATATAATCACGATAAATAAATCTATAAAAGGCAGCATTATACTGACACTTACCTTGCATTCAATCTCTGCCTGTCTGCGCTTTGCCTCACTTAACTGGGTAAGCAACCCTTTGTTCTTCGCAGAAAGAGAATGCACCTTCTCCTGCAGACTGGTGACCTCTTGTTCTGCTCTTCGAAGTTGGTTACTATTGATCTGGTTCTAATGAGAAATATAAACAGACTCACTATAGATAAAAGACTGGAAACTCTAATTAATTTTTACCTGTAAATCTTATACTTCAACAATCATATAAAATGTTTTTTTAAATATTTATTAAAAATGGAAAAAGATATGAGACAAATCTTCAGGCAAGCGTGTAGCACGTGTATCCCAGCACTAGGGAGCTGAGGAAGAAGCACTGGTAAGACAACCTGGGGCTACCCTGTGAACCCGACAGCCCATACTACACAGCAAGACCCTGTCTCAAAAATAAATCTTTAAAACAAAAACCTTGAATTCTCCAAAAGAATATTACAAATTCTTAATCAACATACCAGAAAGGCATGGTGGCATCTATCTGCAACATCAGTATTTGGAAGGTAGAGGCAGGAGGACCTGGAGTTCCAGGCTACCTTTGTTTGTGTAATACAGAGTTTGAGATTAGCCTGGACTACATGAGACCCTGCTTCTAAACACTAGAAATAAATACTTAAATAAACAAAAATATAACCTACATATACCACTTATGCAAAAAAACCTGTAAACTATGAGGACCTAGAGACAATGACTTCTGAAACCTGGGGACAGACACGGGAGACAGAGCACAAACGGAACTGTAAACTCTCTCACACCACCAATGTGTCAGGGGTTCTCGATCTTGGTCAAGTTATTTAATCCTAACAAATGTCAGTATTCTGGAAAAATAGGAAAACACTACAGCTTGCCTTTCGGCTATGTCAGGAAGACTGTGAGGGAGGGCACATGCACAGGGGCTGCAGAAAAAAGTTTGCAGGCGCAGTGAATACTCAGTTGGCACTGGCCTTTGATTCATTCTGCCTTGTTCTATGAAAAACAGAAAAAAATAGTTCTATAAAAAAAATTTTAAATCTCTGGTTTAATGGGAAAGTAGGTATAGTTTAAGAACTCCTTATAATAAGAAAATTATATAAGGACTTTACATAAAATAAATACTTAAAATTATTAAAGATACAAAAAATGGAAAAAAGAAGAGCCGGGCATAGTGGCACACGCCTTTAACCCCAGCACTTGGGAGGCAGAGGCAGGTGGATCTCTGTGAGTTTGAGGCCAGCCTGATCTAAAAAGCAGGCTCCAGGACAGCCAGGGATACACAAAGAAACACCATCTTGAAAAATCAAAAAAAAGGGCTAGTTCCGTAAGGATGCTGTAATCCTGACTAGTCAGTGCACTGAAGCAGGAGGCCCATACACTCCAGGCCAACGTGGAGGATATTGTGAAACAGAGCAAGCCCAGATGACTTAGTGAGACCAGGCCTCAAAGCAAGAATAGAGCTGACAGCACCTCTATCGTGGGTGTGAGCTCCAGTGGTTTAAAACATAAACGAAACACACGGGTGTGAGTACAGAGCTCAGGGAGCACAGTTAATCCAAGGATATTAGAGCAAATACATCCTCACCAAGATACGTTATAATAAGACTCAGTGGGCTGAAGAAACAGGCAAGTCAAGGAAAACAGAGTCCATATGAAGGGAAGCTACTGAAGGCATTTTACCAGTCAACATATATAATGTTTAAAAAAAATTCTTTTCAGTCCACAAGAGTTTACTCAATTAAGTGCTCATATGAGAGCAAAGGTACTTCAGGAGCCAGGGGTCACAGTTCAGCCATGGCCAAGGCCTAGAACCAAACCACACACAACCAATTCCAAAAGTGGCACAAGAAATGGCATCAAGAAAACCCAGTCACAAAGACACAAATCTCTCAAGGGGGTCAAACCCCAAATTCCTGAGGAACATACGTTTAACCAAGAAGCACAAAAAAGGCCTGAAGAAGATGCAGGCAAGCAATGCAAAGGCAATGAGTGTTTGCAGAGGCCACCAAGAGTCTGTGAACCCAAGGTGGCCCAGTCCAAGATGCCAAATGGCCCTGGTCGCAAACTCCACCATCTTGCCTTCCTTGCTCACCCCAAGCTTGGGAACTGGATTAGAAGCTACCTGGCCAAGAGTCGTAGGCTCTGCAGTCAAAACTCACGGATGAAATCAAATCCAGGCCTCGGCTCCAATTTAGGCTCCAGCAGTGCCCAGGCCCTTGTGAAGGCCCCTGTCTGCCAGCATGAAGGCAGATGGGCTGGTGTCATACACCCACACGCTATTTAGGTGATCAGTGCCCTATGTTGTTTTACAAATAAACTTGTGGCAAGATCTGTTTAAAAAACAAAAAGAGTAAAGGCAACCTCAACTGAAGAGAAAGTCAAGTATAGTGACATCAAAACTATAACCCTAGCTATCTGGATATATTCTGAGTTTGAGACCTGCCTGGGTAATAAAGCAAGACACAGAAGAAAGAAAGAAAAGGGGAAGAGAGACAAGAGGGCAGGAGGGAAAGAAGGAAGAAGGATGTGACGGCAGCAGTGTCTGACAACCTGAGGCACAGGCCACGCCCACAGAGTAAGGTGGAGTAAGGAACAACACGGTATGTTCTTCCGAGGGCCTGGAGCTTAAAATAGAGATATAGCTACTGCCTTTAGAATTTGTTTAGTCAGGCGTGTTTCCAATTTTTCAGGAAATAAACATTAATAATTATAAATAACTAAAATAAAATAATTATAGGGCTGTAGAGATGGCTTAGCAGGTAAGAGCACTAGCTACTCTTCCAGAGGACCTGGGTTTAATTCCCAGCACCCACATGGCAGCTCAAAACTGTCTATAAGTCCAGGATCCAACACCCTTACACAGACATACATACAAAAAAACACCAATAAAAAATAAATTAATTTTAAAAAATAATTCTAAAAGTCAAACTAATATAGAGAAAGTGAAAGAAAAAATTAAAAACAGGAGAGAAGGAAAAGATGGATTTGGGACAGAACGGAAGGTACAAACCAACAAATAACGAGGACTTTTGAGTGGGATCAAAAGAGCTAGAACGCCGCTTCCAACCCTCTGATCAAATAAGGGTGGGGGTGGGGACCAAGACTGAACTCTGGGTTCTGCCCAGAAGCCTCCTTGGGAAGAAGGGAGGAAGGGATCTAAGCCCTTCTAACCAAGGCAGAAGCAGTCATAGCTGCAGAGAAAACTCAGTTAGAATAAACATCAGACTAACAGAGGCCAAGTGTTTGGTGGAGAAAGAGTCACAGTTCCTTTCTGCATTCTTGTCATAAACCCCAGCAGGCACACACAAAGGCTGGCGAGTCTTAGGACATACCCACAGCATGGGCTGGACAGAACGGGGAGAAGCACTGGCTCTACCATCTCTTCCAAGGAAGGAAAGCTTTACCTGGCATGGGACCAGCGCACACTCCTGCCTCTGGGGTTATACAACACATTATATCTGGAAGAAGAGGCAGTAATATGTTCTGGATCAAGGACTGCAGCCATTGGCGGGCAGAAGCATTAGAAGGCCAAACACCTCTGATACAAAAGCAAACTGGAGGCTAAGGCTTTATTGGAAAATGGGAAACAACCCTCCAACCTCAGCATCAGCAACAGAACGGCAGTGCTGGAGACACTCCCAATTCCAGGGGGTGATGCAGAGTGAAGACACCAAGTTTCTGAGGAAAGCCCTCTGAGAAACCAAGCCTCATTCTGAAAATGAGGTATGGCCACAGGGATTTAAGCCGGGTGGTGCAGTGTATATAACCACAGAGCAAACCTCAACTCAGCACGTCTGACTGTATAAACTCAAATCTGCCACATGAAAGGCCTGGCAGGAGGAAATGTGTACCCATTTCAAGGCACAAAAGCTGCTTCCCTTAGGTACTGCCTATACAAGACACCCGACTATTGCTACCCCCTTCCCTGTGCTACGGAGAACTTCTTTTCTGGTGTGTATTTGTTGGGGCACATGATGAAAACATGTGCACAGCCTGTATGTCTGACAGCTCGGCTGTCCATTCTTTAATGGCTGGGCATTGCTTCAGATTTCAAAGGTTCTCCAAAACATGTCTGGAATTTGACTCACCCCCCATATATATGTACACACACACACACACACATATACATATATAAATTTTGATCATAAAAATAAAACTTCCCACTATAAAATCTGATTTTTACTTTTCATAATTTTAGCCTCTTCCACATTTTTTAACTTCAATGAAACTTTTTGAGGAAATAATTGAGTGCTATGAAACAAGGTACATCCACCCTGAAGACATTGCATGTTCCCAGCAGCCTGCCTGACATGGACTGACCACATATGTTCACTAGAACACAGAATGAGGCATGAGTAAATGATGCCCCCTACTGGCTGAACAAAACTCTGAAAATCAGCAGTATGCACTGCTCCCCCTCCCTATGTATCCACGAATTCGAACTGCTAATGACTGAAAAGTTTTTACATTGTATCTGTACTGCATATGCGTACACTTTTCTTGCTATTATTCCCTAAATAATACAGTATAACCATCACTTTTGTTGCTTCTGTGCTACATTAGGCATTGTACCTAGGGATGGTTTGAAGTATACTGGAGAATGTACATGGGTTACAACAAATAATAAACCATTTTATTTAAGTAACATGGGCATCTGAGGATTTCAGTATCAGCAGAGAGCCTATAGTCTGCAGCATGGATCCACAGGACAACTTTACATGAAATACAGCTCCAACAAATGTCATTCATAAGAGCCAAATTCACCTTTACAGAGCAAACAAGCGTTATTAGGGAAACAATCTGCACATCTCGGGCCCAACACAGCTAAGACAGAGATGTGACACCGAGGAGAGATCTGAGGAGATGGGTTTAGACTTAAATTTTAAACTTATTACTCAGGATCACATTATGTAACTTGAAAAGGCAAAATGCACATTATAGCTGACACCTGCGATTCTCTACTGGAAATATATGGAGACAGCTAAGACCATCTGGAGGGCAGAGGCCAGGGTGCTAAATACCCCATGATGTACAGACTAGCTACAAAAAACAAAATTTCTGTAAAAGGAGACTTGCTTGCATTTCCCAGCCACCCAGACCCAAATAATCACAGAAAAACTGTATTAATTATAACTGTTTGGCCAAAATTTCAGGCATATTCCTAGCTAGCTCTAATATCTTAAATTAAGATTCTATTATTTAATATTTTACCACAAGGCTCTTGGTTTGTTACTTCACATCTTGCTTCTTGGGTGGCTACATGGCATCTGCCGACTCCACCTTCTTTCTCTCTGCATTCAGTTTAGTTTTCCCACCTTGCTATATTCTGCCCTGCCACAGGCCAAGGCAGCTTCTTTATTAACCAAAGGCAAAAACATAGTCACAGCATATAAAGCAGAATTCCACATTAAATTTCTAGCCCCAAAATTACATATTCTGGTTGAGGAACTTTGCTGTACATAAATTACCCTTCTTAATTGTGCACCAAGGCAACCCTAATAAACCCAAATGCAGTTTGGCTTGCTTAAATTTTGTTCAAGGATCAAAGCAGAGATTAAATTCCTAGGGAAAAGGTGTTTATGCCTATAATCCCAGTACTGGCCACCAGTCTGAAGTTAATCCAGGCTACAGAGTGAGTGACAAGCCAACTGTAGCACAGATTCTAACTGTCCTTGATAAAAAATCCGGAGTCAGCTACTAGGGAGTGAAAGCTGAGAGGTCAGAGAAGCAGTGAAGCCAGCCGTTAGAGACCTTTTACCTCTACTAAATCCTCAGACCACCTTCCCAGACTGCGTCCTCTGACGATTTCAGATTACACCTCAGACTGCATCTGAGCCCCTGCCTCCTCCTGCCTTATATCCCCTGTCCCCTCATATTCCCTGTCCCCTTATATTCCTCTGTCCACTGGTCTCCACCTCCCCAGTGCTGGGATCGCCTTTGTGTGAGCTCTGCTTCTCTTACAGACTGGATCAATTTCTCGTAGCCCAGGGTGGCCTTGAACTAACAGAGATACACCTGTCCTTTTCTTCAGAGTCCTGGGATTAAAGGTGTATGTCACCACTGCCCGGCCTCTAGTGGCTTAGCTCTGCATTTGGTCAAGCTTTATTTGGTAAAACACAAAATATCATTACAGCCCGCCCGCGATATTGCACACCCTGTCTCAGAAAACAAAGCTAAAACAAAACAGGGCTGGGGCAGAGCCTGTCGGCAAGAGTGCCTGATGCACCAGTGTAAAGGCCCGAGTGCAGATCGTCCGTTCTCATGTAAAAGGCAGGCTCACGTTTGCAATCCTAGACCTGGGGTAGACACAGCAGGAAGATCACCAGAGCTTGCCTAATGGTAAAAAGTGCTAAGTTGCCGGTGTTCCAGGCGCAATGACTGACCAGACCCCATCGCAAGAGAATAAGGACAGGGAGCAGCAGTGACTTTTGGCTTTCTACACGAGAACGAGAAAACTGCTGTCTAGACTTCATCTTTACCTTAATTCTAAGGATTTAGGCAACAGAGACAATGTTAAATTTTTTGCTCATTTGCCACCCTCTAAACACAACGGCATAAAATTTGAATTTCCCATTTAAAGCCTAGATCTTCACTCTTCATAACTTTATAGTATCTCTTCAATGTTATTTTTAGTTACACAAAAATTTTGAACAAACAGCTGTCAGACTCTGATCGAGCGCTGCTTCACCTGGGCCTGCCCGTCATACCTGCGTTTCCATTTCCATCATCCTCTGCTTCATTTCTCTTATTTCCGCCTGGGTCTCTGCTTCTCTGAGGCGGATGCTCATCAGCTCTTCCTGTAACTCATTCACAGTGTTCTTCTTGGGCGGGTCTTTCCATCGTCCAGAAGTTCGAGCTAAATGACGCTAAAGCATACAACATTACACTGCAGCAAATACTTTATCAAAATAAGAGCTAACTTTACAGAGCAGATACTTAAGATTGCTCAAGAACATTTTACTTGTTTGAGAGAAGCTTTTGGTTTGTATTCCTGGCAGACTCTGGGCTTAGGGTTTTCCGCCTCAGCCTAAGTGTTGGGATTCCTGATACCTGATATACATCACCATGTTCAGCTTAACTACACTTTGCTGCAGCTGGGTACTTGTGAAATACATTTTTAAAAGCCATGACAATATCAAGGAATAATTTCCTTTGTTCTTTTAAAATTACATTATATTCATTCACTGGCTCCACGGCGCTCATAAGGAGGTCAGAGGACAGCCGGCAAGAGTCGGCTCTCTTCCACCTTGTGAGTGCAGGAGACCCAATTCAGATTCGCAGCCTTGGCTATGAGGCCCTGCACCAAGTGTCCCCTCCATTGACCTCAATCTTTACTAGATGTCTCTTCCCACCCTCAGTTTAAACCAAGATCACCAATCTGAAACTGTACTGTTTTTAAAAATTCATTCTCTTCTGTCTTTCACATTGTTACATTCTATTCTTTATCAAATTTCCCTTACAAGATACATTTGTGAGAAGATACCTAAAGTATCATTTATTTTTATGATAAGCATTTTCAAAGAAGTCAGAAATTTACAAATATACACTGGTGTCCTCCTTCAGCTGTTTCCATCTTCCCAATAATGTACCTGATAGCAAAGCAAATCTCTGTTTGCTAAGTGACCGTTAAGTTCCACCTCTACACCATAGGTTGTCTTTGTGTAGTGGGCAACAACTGACACAGACACTGAAACTGATCAAAGTGACGAAGTGCTCATAAAAGAGACACCTGTGCCAGGTCTCACTGAGGCTTACGGAGCTGGGGGGTGGGGAAGCCCAGGACTGAACAGTGTCCTCTGGACACGACAGGACCACTGGACTCATGAACCCTCAGCTGAGGTTGCCTGCACAAACCCTGTATAAAATCAAGCCAGTACATATTCCAGCATGAAGGGGCAGGCCCTGAGCTTCCACCCACAGCTAGGAGCTACCGACAGTTGTTCCTGGAGAAGGGGAATCACTTTTCCTTAACAATGCAGCCCCTGGTAGACCAATCAAGCTCACATGGATGACCCCACACCCATGAGTACATGAGCAGCACAGACAGGATGAGTGAGTTTAAAAGAAACCACAAACGAGGATCTGAAATTGGAAGGTAAATTTTATATCTTGGAGGATCTGGAGTAGGCACGAAGATGAATGTGGTCAGAATACACTGCATACATGTATGACTTTCTCAAAGAATAAAAATATTATATTTAATAAAAAAGAAAGTTTTATACTGTGTAAGTTTTGTACTATTTATAGTTCTCTAGGAAACTTGAACAATACAAAAGTTCAAAGCAATAATAAAAATATGATCTTGCTTATAGTTTATCTTTGGCTTCATTTAAAGAATTATATATAAAGTACATCTTAGATGTGCTTTCAAGTTGTAACTGTTCTCAATTGTGACCCTAAGCAAGATTTCTTTTCATCACCTACTGCTGGTCACCAGGTATTTCAAATTCCCAGAACTAAGCCCTTGGTTTTAGTTCTGTTGGAAAAGCACAGCAAGCCTGACATACCTGCCAGTGTTCTTCTAGATCTCTGACCTGCTGCCGAAGTTCTTTCAAACCCATAATGGCTTCCGCTTCTCTCAGCTTCACGGCAATGAGCTCCTCCTGAAGCCTTGCGATGTTGTTCTCATCAGGGAATGAGTTGTTCTTCTAACGTCAGAAAAATTGAGATTTAAAAAAAAAAAAGTCACGTTTTTTAAAACTTAGTTTTGGACGGCTGTGTGTGCCCACGCACACACCTGAGGAGGCTGGAGGCTAACCTGCAGGAGTCAGTTTTCTCCTTTCACGTCGGGGTTCTGGGGACAGAATTCATCTCTATTGGCATTTTTAAACATGAAAATATGTATGGATTTGTATGAAAGTAACCAGGAAGAACTGACACTCTTAACTGAAGAAGATGAAAAGATCTCCCATGCTCATGGGTTAATAGGATTAACATAGTAAAAATGGCCATCCTAGCAAAAGCAATCTACAGATGCAATACAAGCCCATAAAAATTCCAACACAATTCTTCAAAGAAATTGAAAAATAAGTCTTCAATTTTATATGGAAACCAAAAATCCCAGAATAGCTAAAACAATCCTGATAATAAAGAACTGTAGAAGTATTCACACCCCATTTTTAAGTTGGAGCACAGACCTATAACAATAATCTGATTGAAGAGGAAACAGAGAATAGTCCTGAGCTCACTGATACAGGAAAGGGTTTTCTGATTGGCAGCCTTAGAGTTATTTTTACTTTCTGCCTTTCCGCTCTCCCTGTAGACAGGGTCTCATGTACACACTAGACTGACCTCCAACTCACCATCTAACCAAGGCTGGGATTGCAGGGATTGCCATCTGGAGCTGGGCACATTCTAGGCAAGCACTCTACCATCTACCAACTAGCAAATCTCGAATGTGAAAAGCATCAGGTCTAACTCAGTTCAGCAAGTACTGCACAAGAATCTGGCTCAGCCCCGGCCAGAGTAGGAAGAAGAGGTATTTACACAGTTTCCCACCTTCTCTATGTCCAGAGTAGGAAGAAGAGGTATTTACACAGTTTCCCACCTTCTCTATGTCCAGCACTTTGTCCTGCATCTCCTTCAGCGCACACTGAGACTCAGCCTCACTCAGCCTGGCTTGGACCAACTCCTTCTCCAGCTGCAGCACGAAATCTTCATTGTAGGAGGAGCTGCATTTATGCTAAAGGTTATAGACATAGACTGAAACTTTAGGGAAACACAAGCATGGAAATATACACATTCAGAAAAACTATAAAGTTATATAATGTGGGTATTATGGGCAACTAAAAAGTAAATCTTATCTACCCAGTATTCCAAATTATTTCCCTTTTCCCAACAAATGAGTTTAAAACGAAAAGAAAAAAGAAAAGCCGGGTCCTGGTATCTTTGAGGAAGACCACATAAATCAGTTTTGGTAAAAAGTTATCACACTCCTCAACCCTGCTCATATGAAGTATCCGTCCTCTTTGTGTCCACTCTCAAGAGCTTGTTCTGACTCTGCAGACAACAGGGCACCCGTCAGCCTCCCACGGTCACTTAGGACTTGAGATCCTTGCTGAGAAAGGTGATGAACAAAAGACAAACTGGTTTTCAGTGCAAGTCCCTTGCGTTCAACCCCCAGCACCATGACCAAAAGTATAAAATTGAATAAGCACATAAAATAATTCAAAATAATTCATATGATTTTATGGTGATGGCATGTTGAAATATTATTTAAAATTAAGGTGATTATTTAAAATTGAAGTAAACGAAAACATTAACTTCCCTTTTACTCTTTTCAGTATGGATAGTATCTTAAGACTGCTTAGTTAGCTCACATTAAAGACTACAGAGCATATAAAGCCTAAAAATTCTATTTCCATGCATTGAAAGTAAAGATTAAGGTGAAATACCTTAAACCCTAAGAAAGAAAATTTTATTTGCTTTAGAAGTGTCAATTTCTTTAAAATATTTGTATGGAGTAGTATAGAAAGAGAAAAGCAATTGCTGCATAAAGAGACAAACCACAGAGGCAGGACATGTCCCCTGTCCCTCTCTACTCCACTGGTATTCACACACCAGTGAGGTCACTAGCCGTTTCTTAAAGCCCATTCCATATAAAAGCTGTAGCACAAAAGCAAAACATCGGTGAATAAAAAGGGCCTCATTTTAATGTTTAATTGCATTCAAATGTTTACCTAGGAATTTAGAGCTACTTTTAAAAATGATATAATGTTTTTACTTATTCCCAAGACAAAATATGTAATAATACATGTAAATAAAAAATAAAATAGTAAGACAGTACATGTGACAGCCACACTCATGAGCATCAGTAAGAAATAAACAGCTACAAAATGCAGAGTGCTCCAGAACAAAATACATACTCTGATCTCCACCAGTACATGGCCCCCAGAACTGTTCCCAAACCATCCCTACCACTATGCCCGAAATGGCTGTGTTTTTTGTTTTTGTTTTCATTTTTAAATCCATCAGTTACACCTGTAACTGAGCAGTTGGGAAGCTTAAGAGAAGAGAATTAAAAATTCAAAGCTACTCTGGACTACAGAATGAATGTGGTCACTACGGGCAACTCAGGTATCAAGACAAAGAGTAAAATGCAGGCTGGGACCTAGCTATCAGTTAGACCGCATGTCCAGCATGCATGAGATTTACATTCAAATCCCAGTACTATCAAAAAAATACCTATCATTCAAATGTTTTCTTTCTAATACCTACAAAAATTACATAAATCCTTTAAAATGGAAATTTATCTCGTTATTTTTAATTATCGCTAATGATAAAGAAATGTGATGAAAACAAGTATTTTCACTACAGTGACCTCTATTTCTTATTTAAAATGAAAGGCAAACGCTATATATAAACCTAATACATTGAACCTTTAGATCGAAGCCAAAATTACTTTATTTAAAACATTATTATTTTTTAAGTTTACATGTCTATATGTGTATATTTGTGTGTCTTTAAGAGTATATGACACGTGTGTGCATGCCCTCACAGACCACAAGAGGGCATAAATTTTATAACAGGGATGGAAACTCGTATGTGCTACTGAACATACTTTCTTAAATAAATTATTTAGGAAAATCCGCAACTTCCAATGATAAGCAAAAGACAAGACTTACACTTTCTAAATTTAAATGAGTATGTCATAATCATTATACCAATTGCATTAAACCATTAAAGATCATATGAAATATTGAATAAACAGAAATCTATGAACCCAGAATGATACAAAACAGACTGCAGTGAGGGGCTGGGAGGGAAGAAAGGTTAAGGAAGAAAGACAGAAATGTTATCTCTCAGAAGAACACTGCTGAGTGCAGCACAAATGAGAAGAAATGGAAACCACCACTCTGGAAAATTAATGAAACAACCAACTTTACACAATCCACGGATGTCCAAACACTGAGATAAAAGACAGACGGAGCCCAGACAACAAATAAGCAGGGAAGAAAAGAAATACAGAAATAGAGAAAGGTAAAAGCCCAGAGACAAAAGGTAGACAAGCTAATTTAAGAAAAGCTAGCAGCAAACAAGCCAAGCTAAGGCCAGACAGTCATAAGAAAGAATAAAATTCCATGTTTATTTGGGAGCTGGGTGGTGGGCCCCCAAAAGAACAAAGAGTAAAAAACAACCAACAAGAAGGATATAGTGGTGGGGGCGGGGGGTATAAAAGTGTGCTCTTGAAGGAGACACTGAGTCTCCCTGCTTCCTGGCTTCCAGGAGGCGCAGGCTTCCTACACAATCTCATTAGGATGTGAAAGCTGCCACTGGTCCAGGACACAGGTCCGATGAACTAACCATGACCCAAATAAATTCCTCCCTGAGAGCTGTGACCTCCACCTGCTGTTACAGGAGCCTGAAATTTGGATAATACATCCACTGATGTAGGCTTCCCCTCTGTATGCTATGAATATGTTTTACTGCCATTGGTTAATAAAGGATCTGCTTTTGGCCAATGGCTTAGCAGAGTAAAGCCAAGCGGGAAATCCAGAGACAGAGAGAGAGAGTAGTAGGAGCCAGGGAGCCATGTAGCCACTGCAGAAGACCAAGTCGAAACTTTACCAGTAGGTCACAACCTTACAGTAAAATATAAAATAATAGAAATGAGTTAATTTACAATATAAAAGCTAGCTAGACATATGCTTAAGCTATTGGCCAAACAGTATTGCAATTAATATAGTTTCTGTGTGATTATTTCAGGTCTGGGCAGCCAGGGACGAACAAGCGGTCTCTGCCTACACATCCACCATATTCCTAAGTAGGGGAATATAAAATTTTTCCTCTTGCACAACAAATAGAATTGGCCTACTCAAATATCATATCCTGAAATTACATAAAAGTTTGGCTGTGAATAATAACCCCTATAACCACCAGATGCTAAAACGCTCTTTCCTCATCAATCAGTGAAAATACAGGTACTACAGGTTCTTACTGCCCCATCTGTCAAATGCTTGAGGACTACAGTCCCACAGCCCTTGGGCTGTGACCTGCTGCCGCCCACTCCTCTAGCCCCAGCCCTCCCACCTAGTCCGAAGGGAAGCACACCCTCACTAAGACACATCCAAGCCCAGCCTTGAGGGAGCCCACCCTGCTGCCCCAGCACGGGAACTCAGAGTGCTCCTGCAAGCAATCTTGTTCTGTTTTAATTACTGAGTGCTTGTCTGCATGGATGTGCACACTCCACGTGCATGCCAGATGTCCACAGAAACTAGAAGAAGGAGCTGAACTGGAAGCACAGGTGGCTGTGAGCTGCTGTGTGGGCACTGGGAAGCCAATCTGGATCCTCTATAAAGAGACAGCAGTGTTTCGCCCACTGAGCCAGCTCCCAAGCCCTGTCAGTACAGATTTACTGTAACCACACTGACTAAATGTGTCAGTTTTTAAAGCCTTTTCACTACAGTAAGCTTATTTGTTTCTTATTTAATGAGTACAGAATAAACCATGAGAAACTTTTATAAACAGTGGTAATGTTAATAACAACAGAAACGGACTCAATGCCACTGAACCACATTTATTTAAATGGTAAATTTGTATTTTGTATATGTTTTATCACAATTAAAAAATCACAAAATATATAAATAAAAGTAAACTTATATGCTAACTAAAAGAAACTAATTCCACTTATAGAAAATTCTGAAAAATTCAAAGTATTCAGACTCAGGTTGATGGGATGAACATGGAGAATGAACCGTAACACAGGACAAGATGGTGGAAATGGCCACTGTTATGTGGGGGTTACACAACCCTCTACATTTAAAACATATCATATTCACATTTAAATTTCACAAATTATGTAGGGGAAAAAATGAGAGACCTGAAATGGTCCAGCTCTGCTTAAATCATTTCTGAAATCAAACAAAAGTTCACTGAATATCAAAGATCACAGTTATCAAAACAGGACTAAACCCTAGTTCCATATATATGTGAGCCTAAGGCTCCTCACATCCCATGAAATGCTGATGTGGCAGTAGTAGAGGGTGGTGGTAGGAAATTGTATCAGAAAATCAGTATCTCCTCCTGGACTATGGATTCTAAACACTAACTGTGAGTGTTCAAACATTCGTAAAGGTGTATTTAAGGAGACTCTAACCAAATGTCCAGCAACACTGTTATCACTTCCCGTCCCTAGCGCATCTTCTCCTTACAATCTGCTTCTTTTGTCGAAACTGCTTTGGGTAAGATTATGATTCTCTCAGTTCATATTTCCTATACTTTTGTACATTAATAAGATAAATATCTGAATCTTAATTCTGAAGGCAGGGCTATCGATTTTGTGAAATAAACTTTTACCTTCTTATTCCAAACAGAAATTGTTTGTAATATTTAACATTAGAATTAATCTTGGTTTATCATCTAAAACACTGGCTCCATTTTAATAACCCACATATAAAGTTCTTGCACATACTATGCATACGGGCAGTCTGACATGAAGCACCGTGGACAGGCTCACACAACAGCGTGAGTGGTCTCCTGACATACCGAACCATTTATGTTTACTATTTTCACCTTCGTTTCTGTCTCGACTAGAAAAAGGTACATTAATAACTTAACAAATAACTTATAAAACTTCAGCTATAGCTACAGGAATAACATTTTCTGTCTTGACACAAAATATTAGCTTTTACTAAGGCACATAATAAGATCTTTTAGAATTCTCAATAAAGCATACAAGCAAGGCCACATTAACAAGCCTAACATTCAGTCACTGATTTCTGTAAGAAATGCATGTGTCCACATAAAACCCACTGCAGCTCTCATTTTCTGGAAATGCAATTTCTACTATTTCTACAATCATTATAATATCTCAGATATTGTAATAATAATAACCTGGCCTTGGGCTCACTCAAGGCTATGCTATAAAGTTCACTTATTCTGTACACCCTCATCACTTTATCTCCGTGACCTACAGCTTCCTGCAATGTCAGAAAAGGAAAACTCTGAAGTAAGAATCTGCTTTCTCACTGGTAATGTTAGCTCCACAATGCAGGTCTATAGGAAAGTGAGTGTGGAGAGTCTCCTTACATTTAGTCTTCTGCTATAAACCTGCGTTCTGTTGACTTGGTTCCCTCTCACAGATTTCTGCATTAGCTGTCTTTTAGGTCCTGTGGCTTCACGGTATCAAAGCTGCAGCTGGTGCAAGTATGGTAACTCACTTTCCTTCCAAACAGACAACACTGCACTGACAAGCCATTTCACTGACAAGTGAAGAACTCTGTTTTCCTGTTCCATGCCTTGTGATTAAAGGCAGAACAAACTATTGCAGCTGTGGCCATTTCAATATTATTTTAACACATCCATTTTTCTTAACTGCCTTCACTGAAAAAAAAAAATACATGTTTACAGCTTTTGTTGCACTTTTCACTTCTAGCCTTCTAACTTCTGAATACAGATGACGATGTTTCTAAACTTTGTTGGGTAAGAGTAAAGCCCATTCGTGCACCACTACCTTCAGCAGTAACTTTTATTTTTTAAGAATTACTCCCCGTCTTTGACAACTTTTCTCCTCTCCACGTAAATGTAAGCATGTACTTTAACTCATAATTCAGTGTTCTGATATAGGAAGTCTAAGCTAGACTATTTCACAAAATATAAACTGTTAACATTATGAAAGCTTCTAAATGTTGAGTAATAACCACTTTACAAGAGTCAAAAACTAGCTGACGTCAGGATTACCTCCTATAAAATAGATCCCTACAAATCTAAAAAGCAGCTGCACACTATTTTCTATGACTTAGAATATAGCATAAAAAAATATTATCTAACAAAACCACAGACAAAAAAGAAAAACCAGGAATCTTGGTGGCCACAGGAAGTCTTACTAGTTCCCGTAAAGCCGAGCTGGGGGAGGTGAGGAAGGCTGCCAAGTCCTTACCCAGTGGTGCCGGTGCCGGAGCTCCCTGATGGTGCTTTCAGCCTGCTCCAGCTTAGCGCTGGCCTCATCACTCTGCTGTCTGATGCTGGCCAACTCCCGTTTTATGAGGTAGTTTTCCTCAGCCTCCTGGGCTCTTGTCACTTGTCCCTTAGGACATAATTTTTTGTGTGTGTATAAAGCAATTTAGAATAGATTTAAGAAAGACTGTCTTTGTGAGGTTTAGTTATTTTTTGACATGACATGTTAAAAAAAAAAAAAGACACCTCAGAGAAGAGAATAGCCAAGGTAATTATTAGCTAGAAGCTTGTTATTTTGCTCTAGCAAATTTGAGGAAACAAAATGAAATTTTCAATTGACAGTCTTAAGAACAATTCTCTTAGTTGATAAAAAAAAATGCAATTCATGCAATATTATGGAGTTGTACATGCATGGGTAAAATGTTCAATGAACAGTGGTTAATGTCACAGAATCCACTGCTTACCATTTGAAATAAATACTTTAAAAATAAGGTTAGGTTAAAACGTGCAGAGAGGTAGGCATTCATTTAAAAATACATTTATCAAAACATTAAGTATACATTCATATGCCAGCCCAAAGAATTATTTTTTTGGGAAAATGCATGTAAAATTGCATGCATTAAGTATGAATTTCTAAGTTTAGGATTTTCTTTAGAGGTTAGTGAAAATACTAAAAATAAAAAAGATAAAATAAAAAAACTATACCTGTATCAATCTATCTGCCAAGGAAGCACTTTCCTACAAAAGGAAAAATTTAGATAGAAATATAAAAAGACGAGAAATCAAAGTGATAAAATTAGGAATAAGAAGAAACACCCACACCCAAATTCCATTTACTTTTCATTGATAATTAAAATGGATATTTAAACTATTTTTTAAATGTATTTTTATTTTTAAATCTTAAAAAATAGGGACAGCTTACAGATAATCATGTCTCTAAAAGAGATAAATCTTTCATTACTTAGGACAAAAAGTATTTTTTTTCTTGAAAATGTACCTTTAAATATTTATTTCTAGGCCTAGTCACATCATCAAACCACTTCCAGAGGGGAGGAATGGATTTGGCTCAGCAATACACCGCTCACAAACACAGCAGCCACTGGCGCAACAGCAGCATCCGAGAAATGAGGCAACAAAGGTAACAGGAATTCTTAAGTTCAACTTAAACTCTCAACAATAATCCAGGAAGTACACTTTTGGTTCAAGAATTCAACGAGATCTAAGTTCTTAAGAATTCTAAATGCTGTCAAAGAGAACGCATACTCACCCTTCTAGACATAAAACAGACTACACCTTCCTAGATCTTCATTATTATTCTGAGGATTCGATGAAATAATGCTTTCTCTGTGAACATATCTAACTCTAATAATGACAATCATTTAAGCTGCATATTTTACTGCAAGCTGAGTATTTGGTGAAAGCAGGCATAATACAAAGTAAAAGGACTTGAGAAGTTCAACACATGTGTGGAATCCCCAGTCTCACAAGAGGAGCCATATCTGATGAGATGAGCATGGCAGTCAGTGCAATCAACGGAGTTGTAATGAGTATCCTGTCCTGCGCACGACTACACAATATAAAACCATGGGACATCGCAACTGTCATTCTTTCTTGGATATTAATCTATAAACTTTTAGAGAAGATTTTAAATATAATTGGTATCTTGAGGAGCAGATACACGCCAACTTACTCTCAACCTTTAGCTTTACAAAAACACCTTCTGAGTTCAACTGTTTTCATTTAAGAAAAATTGTTGGGCTGGTCGCTTTTATTTATTTTATTTTATTTTGAGACCATTTCATGTAGCATAAGCTGGCCTGAAACTTAACACTACGGCCAAATGACTTTGAACTTCTGACCCTCCCTCCTCCACCTCCCAAGGGCTGAGATTATGAACATGCATCACCATGCACAGTTTATATGGTGCTGGGATTGAACTCAGAACTTAAGAGCATGCTACATGCCTAGCCCAAGAAGACTCTTAAATTCAATTCATTCTTAAAAACACAACTACAAAACACATTCTATCAAAAGCATAATAAGAAAAAGAGAAAATTTTCTTGCTTGCTAGTTATTTTACATGAAACAGAAAGGAAAAGCTATTGAGTAGATACAAGACAATTCTTACAACCAAAGAGTTATAAAACTATTTAGTGTTGAAAATGAACATAAAAGCAGATTTTATCATCACTTTGACTAAATATAAAGCTTTGGTGTGGAAGGCCTTAAAAGAGCCCTGTCATGTACAATGTATGGCTCAAAATCCAGGGAACACTTAAAGTTCATCTTTAAAACATCTGTCAGAATGTATTCCCACCTAAGTCATACTTTTAGAGAACCTATGAGAAAAAAGCAAATGGTATCAATATGTAATCCTATTATTAGCTTCTGCTAAGCCTCACCAAGGGTGTTCATTATCAGTAAGTAGAACAACAGTAAGCAAGGGAGCTGAGGTGAGCACCACACTTAGTAGCGTACATACCAAACTGTTTAGATTTGCTACATTTAAACGGTAAGCAAGGGAAGCTGAGGTGAGCACCACACTTAGGTAACGTACATACCAAACTGTTTAGATCTGCTAGATTTAAACGGTAAGCAAGGGAAGCTGAGGTGAGCACCACACTTAGGTAGCGTACATACCAAACTGTTTAGATTTGCTACATTTAAACGGTAAGCATTGAACAGAAACTTGCAATAGCCATTTTACTTACTTTTTCTAATGTTTCAATGCGTTGTTTTAAAAGCCTATTTTCTGTGCGTAGCCTCTGTGAGGAAAAAGAAAACAATGTCTGTTTGCAAGCATTCTCGAGAGGATTCCCAAGTCACAGTGTGGATAATGTGCCACCTTCTGTAAGAGCTGACAGGCTGGAGAGATGGCTCAGAGGTTAAGAGCACTGGCTGCTCTTCCAAAGGACCCAGGTTCAATTCCCAGAGCCTGCATGACAGCTCACAACTGTCTCTAACTCCAGTTTCAGGGGATCCAACACCTTCACACAGACATACATGCAGACCAAACACCAATGCACATACAAAATCAAGAGGAATAATGAGAAATGACTGTAAGGAACTGTTACATTATCATATGTTCAACTATCAAAGCTTAGCATAAGAATACATGGCAAAGGAAACAATCCCATTTGTCATGCCACCTGTGACGAAACTTTAAACATTAAATGCAATGCATAAAAAGTCTTTGTTTTCTCCATTTATAATGGCTTATACTCTGATTTTTTCAAAGATTAATTATCTTAATTTTATATGTACGAGTGCTTTGCCTGAATGTGTGTTATCTGTGCACCAAATGTGTGCAGTGCCCAAGGAGTCCAGAAGAGGGTGCTAGACCCTCTTGGAAAAGGAGTTACAGACAGCGGGTGCTGGAATTTAAGCCTGGTCCTCTGGAAGAGCAGTTAGTACACTTAATGGCTAAGCCATCTCTACAGCCTGCCTTATAATCTTATTCTAACATCCCTTGTCTCCTCCACAGCCTAACAATATAATTAGTATTCAAATATTAGTTGAACAAAAATTTTAATCCCTGCACTCAGGAGGCAGAGGCAGGCGTATCTCTGTGAGTTCGAGGCCAGCCTGATCTACAAAAGATAGTTCCAGAACAGGTTCCAAAGCTACAGAGAAACCCTGTCTCGAAAAAACAAAGCAAAACAAAAAACAAACAAAAACACAAATGAACCAAAAAAAAACAAAAGAGAGAGAGAGAAGAAAGAAAGGAAAAGAAAAGAAGATTAAAAACTAGTTACTAGTATTTTCTTGCATAAAAGGTGAAAGCACATTTTTTCAAAAGTGTACATTTATGTAATTATTCAATGCTAGACTTCCCGATACTTACCAAGTTACTATTAAGCCTTAAATCTAAATAATTTCACTTTGACAACTAATCTCTTTATATATTTAATCAATATAACGTATTAATCACATAAACTATTCCTGAGTGGTGTGTGTGTGGTGCATTTCCAAGTGGGCACACCCATGTGCACATGCAGGACACATGTTCTCCCATGCTCTGCCTCACTCCCTTGAGACAAGACCTTTCCCTGGACCTGAAGAGCAGCTGACAGTCAGCAAGACCCAGGCTCCTCCTGACTTTTCCCTCCACAGTACTGGGGTTGGGTGTAGATACATATAGCCTTGTCTAATTTTTTAGCATCTAATGAGATGATCATATTTTTTTTCTTTCAGCTTGTTTATATGGTGGATTACATTGACAGATTTTCCTATGTTGAACCATCCCTCCATCTCTGGGACCTGTGGATGATTGTTCTCATCTGTTCTTCGATTCAGTTTGCCAGCATCTTATTGAGTATTTTTTCATCAATGTTCATGAGGGAGACTGGTCTATAATTTTCTTTCTTAGTTACGTCTTTGCATGGTTTGGGTATCAGGATAACTGTAGTCTCGTAAAAAGAGTTTGGCAATGTCCCTTATGCTTCTATTAGATGCAGGGGGAAGGATGAAAGGGGAGGGGGAAGGGAGAGGACATGAGGGATCTGAAGGGTGGAGTTGGGGGAAGAGTAGAGAGGGAGGGCAAGGAAAGAGATATCTTGATAGAGGGAGCCATTATGGGATTAGTGAGAAACCTGGCACCAGGGAAATTCCCAAGAATCCCAAGGATGACCCCAGATAAGAAACTAAGCAATAGTGGAGAGGGTGCCTGAACTGCCCTTCCCCTGCAGTCAGATGACTACCTTAATTGTTATCATAGAACCTTCATCCAGTAAATGATGCAGAGATCCACAGCTAAGAACTGGACCAAGCTCCAGGAGGCCAGTCGAAGAGAGAGGAGCGATAATATGAGCAAAGGGGTCAAGACCATGATGGGGAAACCCACAGAAACAGCTGACCTGAGCTAGTGGGAGCTCACTGGCTCTGGACTGACAGCTGGGGAACCTGCATAGGACTAAACGAGGCCCTCTGAATGTGGGTGACAGTTGTGTGGCTTGGACAGTTGGTGAGACACTGGCAGTGGAACCAGTGTTCATCCCTAGTGCATGAACTGACTTTCTAGAGCCATTCCCTATGGAAGGAGACTTTACTCAGTCTAGTCACAGTGGGGAGGGCCTTGGTCCTGCTTCAATGTGATGTGACAGACTTTTTGAACACCCATTTTGGGAGACCTTACCCTCTCTGAGGAGTGGATAGGGGGTTTGGTAGGGGGAAGGTGGAAGGAGGGGAAGGAGAGGAGGGGAGGGGAAAGACTGGTATTTAAAATTAAAAGATTGTTTTAAAAAATAGAAAGAAGGGAAGGGGGGAGAGCAAGGAAGGAAGGAAGGAGGGAGGGAGGGAGGGAAGGAGGGAGGAAGAGAGAGAAGGAGGGAGGGAAGAATCAGGGACTGCCCCCCAGCCCAAATAAAGAACTCTTTGGCTTGAACCAGAGGGATGGGCTCTGCAGTAAAGGCCCTTGTCAGCATGACTGATGACCTGAGTTTAATCCCTAGGGCAGGCATGGTAGAAAGACGACAACCAACTGCAAGTCCCCCTAGTGCACCAAGATGTGTGACACACACACACACACACACACACACACACACACATGGTCATACACAAATAACACACACAAGTTGTCAGCAGGAGGAGGACTGTCGGTCTTTCCTGGGCCGCGTGGCAGACACCTACAGCCTTAACACTTGGGAGGTGGAGGCACTAGGGTCTGAGGCAGTCAAGGCCACAAGTCTTAGGCTTTTTTGAAACTTTGACATGTGTCTGAGTTTACTTAATTTTTCTACTGATACAGGTTAGCTCATTATACTAGATATGTATGATCTTATCTATATTATTACAGAAACTAGTATTTTCTAAATTAAAAGGGAATTTTTGGCTTACAGGAGGTACAAATAAAAATATCAGACTACATAAAATATATTTATTCGTCCTTCAAACTGCAAATCTACCTGCTTCCTGACAGTAATTCAAAGCACAATAAAGAAAATTCTGCACTGGCCAAGGGATCCTGCCATAGCACAACAGACAGATTAGTTCACCAATGATGTCTCCTACACAGTTGGCCTCAGGTTACTCCACTCTAGACTCCAGCACACAGCTACCTTCTCTGCAAGTTTTACAATTACGTTTAAGCAGAATGCAATTTTCATGGGTCTGTTTTCTCTTCAAGAGGAACAAGAAAAGAAAGATCTGTTTCTTCTCACGCCATCCTACTCTGAACTACAGGAGGACGCCAGTAAATACAAATTTCACTCTAACATCTACTCTCAAATTCCTGACTTAATGATGTGCATCTGCAGCAATCTTAAACCCTGGAATGCTTACTTTAATTTCCACTTGCTCCTCCATCTCTTTTGTCTTTATCGTAGTATATTCTTTTTCAAGTCTAGAAAGAAAAGAGAAAGTTAAAGCTATGCTTTCATTCAAAAGCAATTAAATTATTTAATTTAAAAGGACATATTAACATAAAATACATTTCTTTACTTTTCCTTGAGGTATAATTTGAAATAATTTATATGAGAAAAAACAGCCCAGTAGTCAAATGGGCTGAGGAGTGGAGAAAGCATCCTGGCACACACTGCACACACACGACGTCACTGGCACACACTGCACACACACGACATCACTGGCACACACTGCA